GGGGGGGATGAAGGGGTCGTTTGCTGCGAGGGGGACGCACGATGGGGTGTCCGCGGGTGAAGGCGGACCATCTTGGTTTTGGTCCTTCCGGAGTGCATTCGCGCGCGTCGACCGAACGTGGAAGGGCCTTTTCGCGGCTTCGGGAGGTTGATAATGACAGGCCTGGACAGACATGCACGTGTCGCCGTCGTCGTTCTGTTTTCCCGCCAAGAGGACGCGACGTCGTGGACGGTCCTTCTGCTACTGTCATTTCACTGCTGCGCGTCTGAAGCCGCATACATGTTGTCCGCACGAGGGTGATTCCACAACGCTTCTCGCCGTGCCAGGTGCGCACTTCCCGCCGCGCATATGCAGTGCCAAAACGCTTCTCGCCGGGCGCGCTACAAGGTTCCTGCCACGCATCTGCAGTGCCACAACGCTTCTCGTCGGGCCAGCTGCACACTTCCCGCCTCGCATCTGCAGTGCCATAACACTTATCGCCGTCATCGCTTCCGCTCTTTGGCAGTCAGGCTTCTTGCCCCGGAGCACTCCCGCCATCGCGAAGGACAGGTGTCGCCGGGGACATCATCCTTCCAAGGTGCGCTTGGGTGTCATCGTCATCCTGCAGCGGAGGACACATCTTCAGTGTCGTCGGGAAAGCCTGTCTGGCCAGGCTTGCAAGAGACGGGTGACATCTTTTTCGACGAAACAGCACACGTTGTCGAGCGCTACACCGAGATCGCTTGTGGGGGTCCCCAGCAAGCATGTCTACGCGATTGAACGCCCGTGGCAAGAAGCGCGACGTCGCGCTTGACGAAACCCAAGCCCAGGGGAAAGGTCGTCCCGAAGGCAAAGAGGCTGTGTTTGGATGATGCGTCAACGAGCGTGCCACGTCGTGGTGCGCGAGGTTGGTCGCAGTCGGCGGAAGAGGACAACGACGATGATTTCATGACGGAGGACGACCAAGGCGAGGTGACAGCGTCTGCAGGACGGGAGAGCGGGGAGACAACGCTTCTAAGAACGAAGGCGCATGTACGCGTGGCGAGACGTGACAGGCTGTCGTGTGATTGGAGTGTCGTGCGTGGCACAGCTGATTAGCGTGTGGGCCGCCGGGATTCGCCAGAGTCCTCCGTCGTCATTGTGCACAGGTTTACTGTGGCGCCTGTGGCATAAGCACGGGTTGATTAAGTTCGATTGTGTCATTGTAGTTTCGGTGGTTAGCGTGTTGGCCGGAGGGATTCGGCTGAATCTTCGACGGTGGCGTAGGTGTTTAGTGTGTGGCCAGTAGCGCCAGCACGGGATGAATGGTTTGCACCTTTTTTTTTTTTTCTTTTTTTTTTTTCCTGCGTTCGGCGCACGTGTTTGTTTTATCAATGCATGGTGCTACTCGTTGTATCGGACGATTTGAAGCGCGTGGCGGTTGATTGTTGTTTGCCTTTTTGCGATGCGTGTGACAACTCTCACGACTCTGTCATATGTCGGTGTCATGAATGTGGTCATGTATTTTATGGGACACAGATGTCATGCGTGTCATGCAGTGTCCTTGTCTGCGTTTCACTTGTTCTTGTTCTTCGTATTGGCTTCACGACATGCAATAGACATGCGATCATCACGGATTGAGAAAATGCATGACGGGATCATATAGAAGCTTGTTGTACATGTCATCCCACCACAACAACACACGAAACCGGTCATGGAAACTGAAATGAAGATATGCACCGTAAAAAGATATGCACTGTAAAAAGATATGCACTGTAAAAAGATGAAGATATGCACCGTAATCAACATTTCCAAAAACAAAAAAAAAATATTAAAAAAAAAAAACAACAACAGCAACAACCATGTTTCCCATCGCACGACACCGTTCATCACAAACGATTTGAAGACAGGAAACATATATAACAAGACAAAAACTCCTAACGACGAGGACACACGCTGGCAAAAAAAAGGTTCTTCCAATCTTTAAACTTCGCACAATTGTGCGAACCAGGTAGCCATCAACAGCATGAAAACGATAATTTGAAATCGTCGATGACAATAATGTCGCCGTTCCATCGACCAACCAACCACGCGCACGACGACCATGGACACGGACCACGTAATAACTCCAGCCGCCTATCGATCGAACCACCCCGTGTGCACCACCTCCCTACCGCACGGTCCAACATCAAAGCTAGGCGGTCTCGCAGTGCATCCCTCAACAATTCACCTTCCACGTTCGTGCACCGTCCCCGCCCGCATGCGCCGTTCCCCACAATGCCCAAGTCCACTCTACACCAAACGCCGTTCGCATCCACCTCCCACAGATGGTTCTCGTCGAAGTCGATCCCCGCGTCCAGGAGGATATTGTGGAGAGTGCAGACAGCGACGAATTGCTGTGGCAAGGTCTCTAGGTTCGTCTTATGGGTGCGCAAGAATAGACGCCACATGCACTTGAGTCGGCCGAATGCCCTCTCCACACACCCCCGTGCCACCTTTTGCCGCGTGTCGAAGCGCTCCTCGTCAGCACCTTGGTCGATTCCTCCATACGGTGACACAATCCACGGACAGGCAACTGGATAACCGTTGTCGCCCAGCAGGTAGCCTCGCGTGACGACACCATGCGGCAGATTCTCCGGAGTTGCGTCGAACAGCTCGCCACTTTCTGCACGCCTAAACAACTGGGAATTGTGCAGGACACGGACGTCGTGCACACTTCCAGGGTATCCGACGTGGACGTTGAGGATCCGCAAATCCAAATCCACAACCACCTGCGCCTGCACGGAGAACTTCTGTTTGCGGTCGTAGTAGTTCTCGGAAGGTGCGCCGGCAGGCTTGTCAATGTAGATGTGTGTACAGTAGATAGCGCCGAAGCAGTTTGGGAAACCCTTCTCACGGAAAGCGCGCAGAATCTGCGCACGTCTCCTGCCCATTGGCCACTTTCTCGCATCGGGGTACGCCTGCAGCAGCGCCGAAGTGACGTCGCGGACGGCCTGCAGTCCAGTTGCCCTGCCGATGCCAAATGCTGACGTGCCGCTCTTGTACGTCTCTCCGGAAGCCCACCTGTATAACACGAAAGCAATCAGCTGCACCACTGGCGATGGAATTCGATAGTGCGTCACCTTCTTCTCCATGTACGAGGCGCACACGGCTACGATGTGGTTGAACATGGCCGTTGACATGCGCAGCTTCTGCCCGAAGTACTTGTCCGTCGCGTCGTCCCGAAGCCGGAGGTCCTCCCATGTCCCGTCAGTCCGTCGTTTGATCCACCATCGCGGAGTCTGCCGCGGGAAAACGCCAGACATCACCGCGGCACACAACTGGACGACTGCCTCACACGTCGCCGTGCAATCCGGCGCCTCTGCAACGCTCTGCAACAGAGGTCTTCGTTGCCGGAGCCGCGTCAGCATGTCGAGCGATGAGGACTCCTTGTCGCCCATCGTGTGCACGACGATGGCAGTCACCGCCATCGCCACGACGTCGATCTCTTCGTCACGTAGACCGTTTGAGCAGCCATGACTGTCCATCTCTGCCAATCCTCGCACGGTTTGCCACGTCACGCCTTGGACAGCCGCCTCAGACACGCTCACCGCGGAACCCTGCCGTCGTAGAGAAACAATGCCGGAGTCCACGATGGCAACGCTGCTGTGCAATGGCACACGAGACGGACACGCGTCCGGTGCTCCACACTTCCAAAGGACGGTACGCATGCCGGAGGTGAACGTGCGGCTCACACGATCATGCGCACGCTCCTCGCAAGTTGCGTACACTCGAAAGATGGATTCCGCACGGCGAACGGCATGGAGGCGCCGTATTTTTCAAGTCACACGCGTCGGCAGGGAGGCGCCGTCTTTTTCATGGCGCACGCGTCCGCGAGAATTTGAATTCAAAATTTTGAAGTTCTGGGGAACCGCGCTTTTCACCGATCTGTCGACTCCCGCCCAAGGGCCACCGCATTCTGTACCACGGACACCGCCGAGGAATGGACGAACATCGGCGGCGCAGCTGCGTATACGCGTATGAAAACGGGCCGCGGGAAACCTTTTAGGACGAGTCCTGAAAGATGATATTTAGGACTGCGTGCAACGACGCA